CCGGGCGCGGGGCGCTGGGCACGCGGGGTCCGCCGTCCGCCGTCCCGGGGGTGCGGGGGTGGGAATCAGGATGGCGCACATGGGCGGCCCTCACGGGGTGTGGCGCAGGACTGCCCCGGCTCCACGGGGGACTCTCCGCCCTCGGATCACACCCCATCGCGCCATCGCAGAAAACTTCTATCTTCCTGTAGGTGCCAGGACGGGCAAGCGAGGGACCTGGGGCAAGGCGTGTGGCTGATCCGGGCAGCCCCCCATGTCCCGGTCCGCACTGCCCTTGGCGCCGGAGGTTAACCTTTTGTGCCCACTGGCCCTGGGCTGCCCGCTTGGCCTGCGTCCCTAGAGGACACTGCTCCTCTTCTGTCCAGGGTCCCTGTTCCCAGCCTCCCTGCCCTGCCAGTCCTGAGGTCCAAGCCGGACAGCGCAGGACTCCTGCAGGCCCTGGGTGAGCTGGTTATCTGAGAAAGGAAAGGCATTTCATTGTGACTTCTCTGGCCCCCACCCCTGCTGCTCTACCCCATCCTAAGCCCCTGCCCCATCCCCCATTGCTGGTCAGATAGCCCATGTCCCCTGTTGAAAATGTCAGGAGCCTGGGGGCAGCCCAGATGTGTCCGGGACAGCCGGACCAGGCTGGCCTCTGAGTGTCCACACACACTGGCTTGTGGAGCCCTGGTCCCTGTCACGTCCCGGGGCCTGCGGGGAAGGAAGGCAGGGACAGGGACTTTCAGGCCTTTTTCCCAGGTCCTGTAGCACATGGTGAGGGCTCTGGCTTTGTTGTCGCCATCAGAGGAGGGTGAGGGAGGGGCCAACCAGGGGACATGTCCTCCTGGGGACAAGCCAGGGTCTGCGTGGGGCTGGCCTCAGGGCGGGAGGGAGGGCTTTGTCTCCTGAGCTGGGGGCAGCGGAGAGGACTGGAGCTGGGGTCAGTCAAGCCTGGGGACACCTGGTGGAGGGACACCTCTGGCCTGTGGGTGGCCCTGGGCAGCAGCCTGAGGCTGTGTAGCCCTTTGAGAAACATCTACCCACTGGCCAGGGGGGCATCAGGACACCCGCAGGGCCCATGAGTTACAGCCTCAGAGGGACTGGTCCCCTGGGCCACCTAGCCAGCTCTGTGGTCTGCATTGTCTGGTGCAGCTGGGGAGGGTGGAGGCAGGCTGGCTGTGACGGAGGGTGCCGAGGGCAAGCTGTAGGCAGTCCCATCTGGACTCGGGAAACGTGTGCAGGGCAGCCAGGTCTGAGGAGGGCCCGCAGGGAACCCTAGGGTGGGCCCAGTGGGGGATGAGCGTAGAGCCCCAGTGGACAGCCTCCCCTCCAGGTGGGGGGCCATGGGCCCTGCTGGGTGGTGGGAAGCTCCCAGCAGAGATGAGCCCCTGTTGGACAGCCAGCTCTAGGCAGAGGGCCTGTGTGTCTGCAGGGCTGCCCCAGGCTCAGGGCCGGCTGCTCCTGCTCCCAGCCGCCGGGCTGCAGAGGGGTCTGGGTTTCCAGCACTTGCCTTCCTGGGGTGCCCACGCCTGCCAACCCCGGCCCCCCTTCATGGCACAGTACCTGCTGCCCACCACCGCGGGGCTCCTCCAAGGGCACCAGTGGCAGGGCCCTGGCCTCCTCGGGGCCGCCTGTACCCTGGAGGAAGGGCTGAGGAAGAGGAGGTGCCGGGGCGGAGGCTGCTGTGAAGTGGGGCCCCCTCCCTGCCCCTGCCCACATCCTGCCCCAGCAGCATGTCAGTGCCCACAGGGCCTGCTGGCAGAGGAGAGGTGTCACCCACCCAGAAGGCAGAGGCCCCACTCTGGACTGAGGCTCTGGGCAGTCCCAGGTCATTCCCCGGGGATATGCCCTCTTCCCCCACCGCTACCTGCGCTGTGCCCACCGCCCGAGTCCCCTCACTTCTCACGGACTTGGGGTGTCCAGAGCATGACCCCATCACCTATGCACGCCCATTCCCCTCATTCCCCTTACTGCTCTATCTCCTGCCTGAGCCCCCATGTGCACGCTAGTGGAGGCCCACCCTTCCTCCCTGTCTCCCTCCTTTCATTTCTCTGCCCTGGTGACACGGTGGGGTAGGTGCTAGAAGCTCGCCACCAGCTTAGCAGTTCCGGGAGAAAGAGCTGTTTGCACCAGTGTAGATTTCTAAACTCACTGCCACCGAGTCGATGCCAACTCTTAGTGACACTATAGGACAGTGTAGAATGGCTCCTGTGGGTTTCTGTGACGGTGACTCTTTTCAGGGGTAAAAAGAAGGCCTCCTCTTTCTCCCTTGGAACTGCTGGTGGTTTCGAACTGCCGACCTTGTGGATTGCAGCCCAGTCGGGGTAACCACCTCACTACCAGGGCGCCTCCGTACAGATGCACAGCTCCTGAAACCTGGGCGTGGTTCTCCTCCACCGTGCGGGGCTGCTGTGGGTCCTGGGCATGGTGGCAGTGGGGTTTGGGGTTTGGGGTGCACTGCGGGCTTAGCATGGGTTTGCTTGCCTAAAGGCCAGGGTTTGGAGCCCACCAGCTGTTCCAAGAGAAAGAGGAGGCTGTCTGCCCCCGTGAAGACTGACAGCCTGTGGGGGGCCTGTGGTCAGGAGGGACCCCCTCCACAGTGGGGTTTGGTGTGAGAGCCCGTCTTCACCCCAGAGGCAGAGAGAGCCCGCTGGACCCAGACCCTCAGGGCAACGTCTTGGTTCCCTCCCTGGCAGTGATTTGTGGGCACACCCATGGCCAGAGGTTGGCACATTCTGGGCATGGGGAGGTATTTGGTAAACACTTGCTATAAGCAAGTGGGAGTGGGGGTGGGGGAACCAAGAAGGGGCCTGGGAGCCAGGGCTGGCACAGGCACCCTCACCGCGCCGTCTGCCTGGCCCCCCCCTGGAGCAGGTGCTGCCCCGTGGCCCCAGGGGTGCAGCCACCATCTGGGCGTGTGTACCAAGGGCCCTGCTGGTCGGACGATCAGGAGCCAGCCAGGATGGTCAGGAAGTCTGTGGGCTTTGATTAAATGGAGTTTTAATTAAAGTGGGCGGTGCAGGTGGGCAGAGGAGGGCGGGGATCAGCAGTTTTGTCTGATGGCCTAGCCAGTCGCATGTGTCCAGCCCTCTCCCCAACCCCCAGGAACCGTCATCGTTGGTATTAGGTGCCCTGGAGCCAGTGCTGACTCGTGGCGACCCCACAGGACAGAGACTTGCTCTGTGCAAGTCCCAGGAGGTAGCTCTAAAGAAACAGAAGACCTGGCTTCTCTGAGGTTAGGGTCCATCCAGTCAGTTCTGACGAAACCCTGCCCGCTCCTGCACCATCCCCAGGCTGTGATCCACAAGGCCCGCAGTTCGAAACCACCAGCTGCTCCTCAGGAGAAAGGGGAGGGCTCTCTACTCCTGTAAAGAGTGGCGGTCTCAGAAACCCACAGGGCGGTTCTGCCCTGCCCAGGAGTGACAGGGTCGCCGTGAGTTGGGATGGACTCAATGGCAGTGAATTCGGGTTCGTTTTCGTTTGAGCTTTGAGCCGAACCATTGCTGCAGCCACCGTGTCAATCCATCTTGCTGGCGTCTCCCCTTTTTCTTTGCCTCTCTGCTTTACCAAATAGAATGACATCCGTGGTTAATTTTCCCTCCTGGAGAGCTAGCAACAGATGACTGGGGCATTAGTCGGTGGAGAAGAGCTGAGGGGGACAGGGGGGACAGTGCCAGACCCCGGCCCCTCACCCTGTCTTGGTCTTTGCTGTCTGATGGTGGAGGCCCCCACAGGGGCAAACTGAGCCTTGATTCCGCCCCGCCCCCCTGCTGTTTCCTGGGCACACTCCCACAGTCCTTCGCAGGGGCAAGGTGAAAGAAGGGGGTCCTGAGAAAGGCAGGTGTTCGAATCCGCCCAGTATGCTTTGGGGGTAAGGCCTGGCCACCGGCTCCGCCCCACTGCAGCCTCTCTGCAGAGCAGGGGGGTCTCAGGACAGGTGAGAACAGCGCTCCTGCTGCTAATGGCATTGCTGGAGGAGGGTCCTAGCTCCCAGAACGGTGGCCCCTGGGCAGTGGCTGGTGTGAGCCCCCGGCACTGACCCCGGGACATGGGCAGGAAGCGGCGTGCCATCAACAAAACCAAACCAAACCCTGGGAGCTGGTGGCTCCACCTCCCCCTGCCCCATTCAACCCAGCTGGCCAGGCTGGTGGGTGTGGCCTGAGCAGGAGAGAGGCGGACAGCCAGCAGCGTCCTGAGTGGCCTGTGGTGGCTGGTGGCTCGTGGGAGCGAGCTGAGCTCCTGGCTGGGGCCGGCTGCACCGACACCGACAGGGGCCTGGTGCTGACGCTGGCAGCGTGGAGGCCGGCACCCCCTGCAGGCAGGCCCAGGCTCAGAGCCCTCGAGAGGTGGCCTGTGGAGGGGCAGGGCGGGTGGCCCTAGAAGCCGCCTGGTACCTGTTTGCCCCACCCCCCATGCAGAATGTGTTCGTGGTGCTTGCAGGTGGGGTCCTGGTGGTGGACACCCTGCTGGGCCTGGAGAAGGCCCGCCCACCCTCAGACAGAGACAGACTTCCGGGTGCCTGCTCCCTCCTGGACCCAGGCCCTTGGGAGGTACCGGGGTGGGAGGGGCCCGGCCACTTCAGCCCTCTGTGAATCCCTGGGGGTCTCAGCCAGCCCCTGGAGACAAGTCCCTTGGAGGAGAGCTGGGAGATATTGTGTGTGGCTGCCAACGGGCCACTTCCAGGGAGCCGCCAGGAAGGAGGCTGCCCCTGGGGGGTCCTGGTGATGCAGTGGGCTAAGTGCTGTGCTGCGGGGTGAAAGGTCAGCCCGCAGCTGCCCCACAGGGGAAAGTCAAGGCTTTCCACCCCTGTCAAGAGTGACCGTCTCAGAAACCCACAGGGGCAGCTCCGCCCTGCCCTGCATGGTCCCCACGAGCCAGAGCCCACCGGAGGCCCGGCATTTAGTTTTCATGTTGTTTAAGCAGCGTCCACTTCCAATCAGGTGGCAGCGCAGCGGCCTCACGGGGTCTCCTCGAGGAGCCGGGTGGCACCGTGGGTTCAGCACCAGTGGGTCAGTGGGGCGGGAGATCGTGCAGATGGATAGCCTCAGACGCCCCCACTTCCTGGGCCATTCTGCTCAGTCCTGCAGGGTGGCCCCCTGAGGGTCAGCAGTGGGTCAGCAGTGGGTTCAGGTTCTGTGGAAGGCAGGGCAGGGGAGGGGTCCTGCTGGGGTTGACAGGATAGAGTGGGGGGAGTGTGCCTGGGCATGTGGGAACCTGGGGGTTCAGGCTGGGTGCTCTGACCCATTGGGCATGGTGAGGGGGAGACCCCCACCCACCCCACCCGCATATCACCTGGGCTCCAATTTTGTGCCTCGGATGGGGAAATTGAGGCCCGGAAGGCACCCCTCTGGCTCCCGTCCCCTGCGCACCCCTGGCTGAGTGCTGCCACTGTCACCCAGCCCCCATCGGCAGGGGCGCAGGTGGGGAAGTGTAGGCGTGGGGGGTGGTGCCAGAGGTGTGTGTGGGGGGGAGCGGTGAGCTCAGCTGAGCTCTGCCTGGTGCGCCTGTGAGAGAGGCTGCCACCACCTGCCTGCCCAGCTGCCACGGATCCTGCCCCAGGGTCCCTGCAGCGAGGTGGTGCCGGCCGGTCAGCAGCTACAGGGCAGGGGAGTGGGGTGGGGGGGCAGGCGGATGGTCGTGGGGTTGTTGGACACCAACCGGGGAGGCTGGGTGGGCGAGGGCGGGCATAAGGGTAGGGGAGGCTGGGTGGTCGTGAACGAGGGCGGGCATAGGGGTAGGGGAGGCTGGGTGGGCGAGGGCGAGGCCCAGGGACTGGCCCAGGAGAGGTCAGCCCCCTGTGGAGATCGTGGCCTGGGTGCCCAGCATGGGGAGAAGAGGTGGGACGGCAGCAGGGGTGTCCGGGCAACCCAAGGGCAGTGCTCACAGGCTCTCCCTCGGCAGGGACTGCAGGACAGAGCCGGCTGACCAGACATGCCCCGTGCGCCCCCGGAAAGGGCCAGGCTCCCCGGGACTCGGCATCATCCTCATCATCATCCTCATCATCGGGCCCGTGAGCAGGGGCGGCCTGGGCTCCCGTGAGTGAGCAGGGCCGGGGTGCGGGGCCGGCGCAGCTATGGACCGTGAGCTGGCCGGGTGCGCGTCCTTGCAGAGCGGCCGGGCTGGCCATGGGCACCCCGGTGTATATCACGGTGGAGCTGGCCATCGCGGTGCTGTCCATCCTGGGCAACGTGCTGGTGTGCTGGGCCGTGTGGCTCAACAGCAACCTGCAGAATGTCACCAACTACTTCGTGGCCTCGCTGGCCGCAGCGGACATCGCCGTGGGCGTGCTGGCCGTGCCCTTCGCCATCAGCATCAGCACCGGCTTCTGCGCCGCCTGCCACGGCTGCCTCTTCATCGCCTGCTTCGTGCTGGTCCTCACCCAGAGCTCCATCTTCAGCCTGCTGGCCATCGCCGTTGACCGATACATCGCCATCCGTATCCCGCTGCGGTGAGCGCCGGCGGGCTGGGCGGCGGGGACTTGAGCGGGGGCACCCAGTGTGGGAGGCCCGGGCTGGGTGTGGCAGCACCCTGGGTTAATCAGGGTTGGGCCGCTCACCACAAGGTCGCCGGTTCAAACCCCCCTGCTGCTCCTTGGGAGGAAGCCGAGGCTGTCTGCTCCCGTGAAGACGGACAGCCTCCGGAAGCCTAGGGGTCAGTTCTGGCTTGCCCTGTTGGGCCACTAGGAGCTGGAATGGCCTCGGCGGCCATGGGTTTTGTCTCTGCTTATCAGGGGCCTGGGGGAGAGGGGGCGGATTAAGGCTTGAGCTGCTAACCACACAGTCAGGAGTTGGATCCCACCAGCTGCCCTGAGAGAGAAAGACGAGGTATTCTGCTACTCCTGCAAACCCTGACCCACGTGAACCCCACAGGGACAGTTCTCCCACAGTCCTACAGGGTCTCTGAGTCGGGGCCCTCCCTGAGGGAGTGAGCGTGTGAGTGTGGGTAGATGTGTGCATGGGAGTGACTGTGGACCTGCGTCTCTGTGTGGGTAAATGTGTGTGTAAGTGTGGTGTGTGAGTGAGGGTGTGCATGTACATGTGTGTATATGGTGAGGTTGTGTGTGTGTGTACGTGTGTGACTGTGAGTCTATACGGTGTGTGTGAGTGTGCGTATCTATATGTGGGAGTGTGTGTGTATATGTATGTGGGTGTGGGTGAGCACATGTGTGTGACTGTGTGTACGTGTAAGTGGGTGTGACTGGCACTCTCACGTCAGATGCTGGGCCACATAAAACCTGTGGTGACAGCCACCAAGGGGGCCGGTTGGCCAGCTTCTGGTGGGCTTCCAGGGACACTGTGCATCAGGACATAAGGGTCACCGGGGACACTGGCGGGCACTCAGCCACACTTGGCAGAGTTCACTGCCCCATTAGCCCAATCTCATCCCTCTCAGGTGCCCAGGGCCCTCGGAGGCTACTCTCACCCCTCTGGGTACAAACAGAGGCTCTGAGGAGGGCCGGGTCCCCAGGGCCCCTGGGGAAGGAGGGTGTGGCTGGGCTTGCGTCCTGGAAGACCCTTGCTGGCCACCCTCATGACTGCAAGCTCCCAGGACCCCTGGGCAGCCCCTCTCATTCCCAGGACAGGTGGGGGGTGTCACTGGCCCTTCCTTGGGGATGGGGCTCAGTGACAGCTGAGAGCAAGGAGGCCCGAGGGGGCCGGGGCTGTCAGTGAGGCCCACCTCTGGGTGCTGGTGGAGAGGAGCAGAGCCCAGCTCCTGAGGATGCCTGCCCTGGCATGCCCCAGAGGACATGCTGTGATAGGGGGCCCCTCTTGGTGCCTCTGCATGGGGACACCTCTGTCCCAGGCACTTACATGGGTCATGAGGATTTGGGGGAAATAGCAGGGAACTTGTGGGGAAAGAGGCAGGGTGGGCAGTGACCAGAGGTGCTGCCCTGGGGTGCTGGCAGTGTGGGGACCCCCCTGCCTTCAAAGGCACAGGCTAGGCGGGGAGGACATCCTGGAGGCAGTGGCACTGCAGAGAGCCATCGAGCTGGCTTTGCCTGCATTGGGCAGGTGACTCTTTGCTTCAGGATCATAGCTCTGGAGGATGACTGGGGTCCACTTTCTCCCAGGGGTGGCTCAGAGCATGACACCAGGGACCCCTGCCCCACCATGTCCACCCCACTGTGGTGGGCCTGGAGCAGCAGGGGCATGCTGGTGGCCTGGATGTCCCTTCTGAAGGGACAAGATGGACCCTGGGGAGATGGAGGCCCGGGAAACGCTAAGGGTCCAGGGCTGTGTCTGGGTCTCAGATCACAGTTTCAGGAGCTTTTG